AAGGTGCAATTAATTCTTACTGTTTTGAAATGTATTATTATTATCTTCCTTAGTGGGTCATGCAAACTGCTATTCTGAATAATGCTTTTTATAACCCAGGAGTCACTAGGGATTAATTTATGGAACCAAGGGGGCAGTGGCCTGAAAAACTTTGGGAACCTTGGCATTAAACTGCCTCCACATCTCATGTATTTGCATTAATTTTATTTATTAAAATATTTCTATCCCACCTTTCCTCATGGCTCAAGGCACCTTCCAAACTACAATCTAAAATTTGAAAACAAAATAAAATCCCAAATAATTAATCTCCCCCTAAAAAATACTGGCATACTTAAAACCCCTGGCAAAATATAATGGCCCTGCAATGCCTCCTGAAGATTTTTACAACAGGTCTCCCCTCCCCTCCCTTGCCTAGGGAGCCCATTCCACAGGGAGCTACAAAAGGAAAAGAACGGACACTGGGTGATGTCAGGGAGGCTACCTTGGGGGTGGGGTGGCAGCCCTGGGACCGTAGTTGACATAGAGCAGAGGTGGCCAAACTGGGTTAGCATAGGAGCCATGTAGAATAAATGTCAGATGTTTGAGAGCTGCAAGACATGAACAAATATTACACACGTTTTTATTGAAAAATATGCAAATTTGCTCTTTATTAGTATTAAATGAGACTGCCAAAAATAAAAACAAAAGGGGTAAAAACATATTGATAATGATATCTATTTGTCCAATGATATTTATTTGTTTGCTAGTGATATTTATTTGTCTGAGAGAGAGTGCGCAAATAGATGGGAGGAGGGAGGGAGATGTGGAAAGAAAGCAACTTTAACTTTAAATGTGTCCTCCAAGCCCCCCCATGCCCCCACGTCAGCTGGCTTGGCTTGGAGAAGGGATTTAAAGAGACAAATGCCTTCTCCAAGCCAACCAGTGGGGAGGGGTATTGAGAACGCATTTAAAGTTAAAGTTGCTTTCTTTCTCTGCTCCCCTCACACACACCTCAAGCCTACCCAGGGAGGGGAACATTGGCTGGGGAAGGGAATACAAATTGGGGAGGCATGCCTCCCCTTCACTTCCCCAGATGCCCTGCCGGGACCCACACAATATGTGTGAAAGAGCTGCATGTGGCTCCTGAGACGCACTTTGGCCACCCCTGGCATAGTGGGACATATGGGAAGAGACAGTCCTTTATATATGTGAATCATAGGCTGTGAAGGGATTTAAGCACCCTTAACTGAATTTGGAAACACACAGCCAATGTAGTTGTTCTAGGACAGCCCATGAAAACCACATTCTGGACCAGTGGCATTATCAGGCTTGCCTTGAAGGGCAGCTGAATGTAGAGTACTGTTGACTAAAGTTCCACTGGAGAGGAAGGAATCAGAATGTACTCTGAATGAGCATATTAAAATGGAGTGGGTTACACCTGTTTTTACCCCAGTGTCTGGAGCACACATAACAATGCAATGGGGTAGATCCTACCTCTGTTCTTCCACTCCACTGAGCAAAGTTTGAAACCTTGCTTCCACCAGCCTAAAGAGCCACTTAAGCTGGAGTAAGGCTCCTTGAAGGGCCATTGGTCCCCTTCAAAATGTCCCTTGGATATTGAAGTATCACAATACAACTTGGCATGTATGTTTACAACTTCACACAATTCCTTCCTTTGAAGTTCAGGCACCAGTTCTGCTCCTATACATGAAGGAAGATGCACTAAACATTCTGTTATCTGAACTGAGGCCCTTTAATGTCTAAGGCTCAATCTCAGAACATGTGCACCAGTCTATATTAATAAAACACAATATTGATACACATGTACCAAGTCTGAGTCTGAAATCAACACCTTTTTCCAACAAAGCCTCTGAACAGGTTGTGTGATAGGTAGAAAATCAAAGCATGCGGCTTGTTTGTTCACTGTATCTTTTACCAGTTGAATGTACTCCTGCCACATAATCTTTAAAGGTACAGGAGTCCTGCCTGGGGTTGTGGGTGATCAAGTGGACCCCTCCCCCCCCGAGCCCCAGCCTAAAATAAGCTACATTTATTAAGATAAATAAATCAAGCTCAATAAATTGCTATGGTTATTATGAGAGAGCTTGAGAACTCCAACTTTTAGGCACCTAGAATAATTTGCATCTGACTGAAGATTTTTGTTGGACTCTAGATACATGGATGGTGCATTATGCAGAATCAGGACCCTTGTCCATCCAGCTGAATGTAAAACTTTGGTGTGTGTGTGTGTATCTATCTATCTATCTATCTATCTATCTATCTAATAGCCATCTAGTGGGAGAAAATGATGTTCTAGGTGGGAAATAATGTGTCTAAGACTAAGGCTGTGGTCACGGTGGAGTTTAGGCATGTTCTGGGTGCATCTCTAAGTGCGCCGGTCAATGCTCCCTCTAAGCGGTGGGGTCTTGTGAGCGAAAATCCTACTTTGTGAGATACTGGCATTAAAGCTGTGAGTAAGAGCTTTGGCTGCTGCATCAATGAGTTTGTTCTGGAGCCCTCCTTCTTGAGCCGAGACAAAAATGTATGAGCCAGAGGCTAAAAAACTGTGAGCTAGCTCACACTGACTCAGCTTAGAGGGAACACTGGCGCCGGTTCATATTGTTGTGGTAAGGACCAAACAGACAGCACACCCTGCGGCAGTTTTCCCGCATGCTCTTCCAGTGGCGAGGCTTCCACATTACTGTAGCACCTCAACCACAGAACGTGCTGCACAGTTGGTTTCTTTAAAAAACAGGCAGGCACATGCCCATATGCACTCATGTACTTATGCGAATATCGGCAGCTACTAAAAACCCCCACACCTGGCAGAAACAGATCTGTCAGTTCAGGCTTTCCCTCCGGCTTCAGTTCGCAACAAGGGAGTTCAGACAGCCGGAAAAACGGAGTGGAAGTGCTGGCATCCGTAAAGACCAGACTTTCCCCAGTGCCTGGTTACTCTGCTTCCGAAGTGGGGCAAAATAGGGTGGCCATGACTAGGGGCATGGAAGGCAGATGTCATTGTCTGATCATGCTCTTTAAATCCACAAAGGTACTGCAAGGATATTGCTGCAAACTGCTCATGTGACTACAGCCTTCGTTATCTGATTTGAGGGAATTAAGTTATTTGCTGTAATATAACACATGTGTAATTGATAAAGCTAAAATGTTAGCATTTGTGGTTGAGACTTTGCTAATTCTGCCCACCCTGGCCTCATGGAAGAGGGACTAAACTAAAGGGTGTCCATCTCGGAAATGGAAATGCAAGACTGGAAAGGGGATGTCCTATTTGAATGTAAATGCTTCAGGCAAGTTCTTGACCTGTCTTAGTGCAAGGCTGGAAAAAAGTATCCCTGGGAAGAGATGCAGCTTACTGTTTGCTGAACTGCTGAATCACTGTACTGAGAGTGTCTGCTCTGGTATGGCCCCTCTTCCTTTACACTTGCACTAAAATCAGTGGGGAAGAGGAAAGGCTTCCATGGTAGCACTTCACTGATGAAAAGTCACAGGAGCTATTGTGTGCTAGGCAGTTTAATTTTCACAATGCCTTCTAGACATCAGGCCAAGGGCATTCAGGAACATCCCTACAGGAACTGTTAAGACCATGTAGGGCCATCCCTGCTCTATCTATGGCACTTTGGCACTGGGTCTTAATGTTATACACTTGGGGGAATGCCTTAGCATTTGGTGCTTGTTCGTGTAGGTTTCCTGTTTTAATTAAATATGGCCCCAGGCACACGGGCCGGATATCGTGCGGGGGGGAGGCGTGGCTAATTGCCCCGGCGCAGTTTGATCCGCGATTACGCGATCAGACGCGCCACCAGCACAGCACGGGTCTTTCCCTCGGCGCCAGTGGGTAAATGAGGGACCGGAGGGGAATGCCGCACGCCAGCATGATCACACCACGGGTGTCTGAAGGCAGCCCATGGCAAACGTTTACTAGTACCTTGGAGGTACTAGTTTTTAAATGCGCATTGTCGGCGGTAAGCCATGGGTGCGCTCCACTTCCCAGATGTTGGGGTGTGATCGGGCCGGATAATCCGCCCACCTTCCATGCCTCTCCCGCGGCAACTTTGCCTGTGACTGGGGCCTACGTTTATTTTGCCCTACTGATTTGTGACAACAGGAACACTCAAACATTTATATGAAATCCCGGTTTGGTGGGTGCAGGGGCTTAAAGCAAGAAGGAGAAAGATCCCTGAATCCAGCCCCTGGCTTGAAGCAAGTGGTTACACCCATATTGTCTATGCATAGCACTGATCCTCCGAGAAAGGCTTTCCAGAGCACCTGGTATCTAATCCCAGAGTGAGAACCTTTTCACTGGAGATTGCAGGGGCTGAACCCACGGCCTGCACAACCACTGATTATTATTCTCGTGGCAAGAGTTTTGAATCCACTGTGTAAAGTAGAAAACGGGGCTGAGGGATACAGTGTAGGTGGCTCCAACCAGCCTAGGACTCATCGCCCCTGGACGCCCTCTCCTCAAGAGGTGTGTTTCTGGAGGGGGCGAGAAGAACAGTTATAATTAGAGAGACAGGAGACACAGTCTTCATATGCCACAATGGAACCCCTTTCTTCTACAGAAGCACTGCACATCTCTTGGCACAGCGTTGCCCGCGCTCCAGTCTTCAATCACTGGCACAGTTCTCTAGGAGTAAGTCCCACGGGAATCAGTGGGTTCACTTCCGAGTAAAAAACATGCGCGGGTTCGGGCCTGCGCGGCGCTTTCCCCCCGCCAAAGGCTTGCGTCGCTTTCCTGCCGTCGCCTTTCCCTTCGCGCGCGGAGCTCTCCAGGGCACGCCGGAGTGGCAGGCGAGACTGCCCTTCTGCGCTGCTCCCCCTGTCGCCCGTCGGGAGTTGCTGCAAGTGCCCGAGCTGTCCTTTGTGCGCCGCGGCCCGCCCTTGGGGAGTGGACAATAAGCGCGGGACGCCGCCTGCCCGCCCAGTCCGTGCCTTGGCCGTGCGTGAGCCGGGGGTGCTGCTCCCTCCTGGCCGCCCGCCCGCCCGCCCGCCCAGCCAGGATGTGCGGGGGCTCTGACGGCAGGGGCGTCCGCTGAGAGGGGAGCAGAGCGGACGAAGGGGGCGTCCCCACCCCGAGCCAGCCATGGGCGGGCGAGCGCTGGTGGGCGCGCTCAGCCTGTGCCTCAGCCTCTGCTCCCTGGCGCTGCTCGTCACAGCCATTTTCACCGACCACTGGTACGAGACCGACCCCCGGCGCCACCGGGAGAGCTGCGAGCACCGCGCCGGCAGCGCCCACCCGCCCGAGCAACGCCGACGCCTCCTGCCCCTGCCGCACTTGCCCTTGCGAAGCGCCCAGCAGCGGCTCCCTCGCGGCGGCGCCTGGGAAGCGGCGGCGGCAGCGGCAGCGGCGGCGGAGCCTCCCCCGGGCGACGTGCTTCTCTTGGACCACTGGCCAGCCCTCCTGGGGCTCGGGGTGCTGCAGTCCCGGTGTGGCCGTCCGCTCTTCGCCACTTACGCCGGGCTTTGGAGGAAATGCTACCTGCTGGGCGTCGACAGGGACCTCGATAGCCTGGTGGAGCGAGGTAAGGGGAGGAGGACGAGAAGGGGGGTGGCACCAGCTGGCGTTCTTCTCCTCGGTTCCACCCTCCTCCCCAGATGCACCTCCCTCATCGCCCCCTCCAGTCCTTGGATTACCATAGAATGCAACACACACACCCCGGACCACCGTGCACCCCGTCATTACTGCTCTAATGCATGGCTGGGATACCTTCTTCTGGCTCTTCCCCAAGTCGCGGCCACTGGTAGTCTGCCATTCCCCACAACTCCATCCGCATCTTCCCCGACTACCTCCATGCAAAGTCAAGACACCAGTCTCCTCCCAATGCAGTTACCTTAGGTCCCCCTTACCCTTGTGTTCACGTACCATGGGCACATAACTCACAGGCACACCCCTCTTCCACTCCCCCCAGTGACACTTCTATGCAAAGTCACTTGTTTAGCGCACAAGATCACTTAACACAGCATTGGCACATCCCCCCATTTCCCTGCTGCATTGTCACTGCAACTTGTGTCAGTTCTGGTAATTGTCCTTATGCCCTCCAGTGAATTGCTGGCATGCAGTTCTATCTTACAACTCTCCTCCATATCAACCATGCTTTGTACCCTACTCCGCTTCCTCCTAATTAATGCATAGGGTGCTCTATAAATGTGAAGATAAGAGGAGAAGGGTACAGTCCATTGAGAATCTGCTGGGTGCATTAGTGATAGTGTGCATTGAGTAGAGACCACAAACTGGCAGGATCTTCAATATATTCCCTAAAAGTAATCAAGATGTTTCTGATTTATGTTCACTATTCAGTGTAGCCCAGTACTTCTCAGTTCATGGACACTGGACCAAACACATCAAACAAATGCAGTGCGTGGTCAATCTGTAGTCAGCTTCTTCATCAGCCTCCTTATTGCATTAATGCTATGAATTAGTCCATCTACCTTATGTATAAAATTGGGCACTCTTGATCCATTTCTCCTAATCCTTCACATTTTCTTCCATGCTCCCCTGAGTTTTTTTCAGATACCAAGGCATAGTAACTGCACATAATCCCTCACATATACCCGTTTGCCACATCGAAGCCCCACACTCCCATTCTCTGGTGTTTTATTCACAAACAACATGACATGACTGTGCTTTTAATAATATTTTGGTAGTGGAATTATCATGCTAACAAATAGTAAAATAGCTGCCCTTCCCCCCCCACAGGTGCCAATCAAGAAAGCAGCTAAACCAAGCCACCCATATACAAGGTCACTATATACTCAAGAGATTCACTAGGTATGCAGGGAAAAAACCCTTTGTAAATTAACCAAAAGAAATGGAATCCCTTTGCCCCCCCAAAAACAGGCTTGTAAGGACTGAGTATGCTCCAGAAGCTATGAAATGCTGAGACAGTTGTGAGTCAGGAGAAGGGGGAAAAGTTGGGAGAGGAAATTAGTCTGTTCAAGTCACTTATACAATCCTGGGGAGGGAGATATTTTTTTGGGGGGAATTTTCAGATTGTTCCTGCCCCCAAAACGATTTCCTGAGGAGTTCCCTCAGTTTGTGTTGTCTTTACTCCTCAAAATACAAATCCCCTTTGCAGGCAGCATTTCCTCTTATCGCTTCTACACATTTTTTTTACTCTCTCAGCATGAGTATCTTTTTCTCCTTAACCTTAACCTTCCTTTCACAATAAATAGGCATTGTTTAATGTCTTACCAAACATCCCCAGCATTCACTTTTGCTTTAAACACCCAAGAACCATGAACCATCTTCATGCAATGATATGACAGGTCTCCTAGCCTGAACAAAACCTAGCATCTTGTCCCTTAGTGCCTTAGTACTATGTACTGCTCTTGCTTCTACCTCTGGTACACAAACCTCAAAAGCAGGCTTCTAACAAAGCACTGGGTGTTTATCAGAGGCACTTTATGTGAGGCACGCAAAAATTATTCACACTGAAACCTAACAGGGCTGGAGTTTAAATTACTTCAGTTTCATTAGCTTTAATTTATGGATGTAAATTATTTTTAGCAAAAAAAAGTGAAGGTATTTTTATGGGGTCATAATGTTAACAGTTATGCCGGCGCAGACTCTGTGTTAATGTCTTGCTCACTGCTAATTCACTTAAATAACATGCATGCGCACGCGTGCACACACACAGAGTTCTGCATTCTTCTCTTCTCTTTGCATCCTTAGGTATTGCTGCTTCTCCTTCCCAAATCACACTACTTGTGAACCCTAAAGGAATGTTTGACCTGTATAATCTATATATATAAAAGAAAGTCCCCTCACCATAAAATCAATGCCCAGGCCAAACCGCTGGACCTAGAAACACCAAATTCAGGGAGAGCGCTCCTACCATGACGTAGGTGCTCACTAAGAAGGGATTTTTAGAAATTCGACCCCTAAGGGGGTCAAAAGGGGTAAAATGTGCTCCCCCCATTGATTTCTGTGCGGCTGCCAGGCTGCTGCCTCCTTGCACCCCCCACTCTCTGATTGGTCAGCTGCAGAGCTCCGTGTTTTGTGGTAAAAAACCCAACAGTTACAGGAGACCGCAGAGAGTTCATGACAGTAGAGGAAATCAGGAACGGCCAACAACCACCTGTGAGGTGCAGTAATGCTGCTGGCCCAGCCTATCTGATGGCTTCCAACACACTCCCCCAACCTCCTACACCTAACAGGTGTCTGTCAGGTGCAGCAGTGGTTGCAGGGTGCTTAAAGCCCCGAGGGAGCCTGCCCCAGCAGTAACGCCTTAGTGATCCTGCTGGCCCTGCCTCCACAGTGGCTTCTAATAATCCTCCCTCCTCCCCCTCCTACACTGGACAGGCAGCTGCCTGTCAGGTGTAGGAGAGGAGGTGGAATGTTTACAGCCGCCGGGGAGGTTTGCTCAGCAGGGTTGCCTTAGCCCTGCTGCTGGCCCAGCCTCTCCGATGCCATTAAATACAATCCCCCCCAACACCAGACAGGCGGGTATCTGTCAGGTGTAGAAGCAAGGCCAGGGTACTTTAATCCATCAGGGATGCTGCCCCAGCAGGATCACCTTAGCATTGCTGCTTGCCCAGCCTCTCTGATAGCTTCCAAAACACTCCCCCACCTCCTACACCAAACAGGCAGTTGTCTGTCAGGTGCAGTAGCGGTCGCAGGGTGCTTAAAGCCACGAGGGAGCCCACCCCAGCAGTAACACCTTAGTGATCTTGCCAGCCCCACCTCCACAGTGGCTTCTAATACTCCTCCACCCTCCCCTTCCTACACTGGACAGGCAGCTGCCAGGAGGAGGCAACTTAGGAATGCGGCAAAGACATTTGCGCATAGTACTCCTGCGGGGCACAGAGCTGCGCAGGCCAAGTACCAGCAAGATCACCCTGAGGTGCTCAGAACAACACAGTCTCCATATGAGCAAAACAATCCAGGAATACAAGCAGGCCCGTAGCCTGCGTGGGGCCCACGGGGCCTGGCCTTCCCGCTGGTTTTGCGGCCCCCCTCCCCAATCAGCGCTGCCGCCGCCTCCTTCTCTGGCCCTGACTGTCAGGGTCCCGGCTCCGGCCACAGCCCTTCCTGCCTTGGCGGCGGCCTGCCTATCGCTTCCCACCCCCGCCCCCGGCGGCGGGCCCGCCTTTCCGCCCGCCTGAAAGTGGGGGCTGACCGGCCGGACGATGGAACTCTCCGCAGCCGCAGCCCGAGAGGGGAGGAGAGGCAAGGCGACCCCGGCAGCAACAGGCAGCGCCTCCGCCCGCGCGCCTCCGAGACGCAACGCGGGCGGCCCTCCTCGCCACACGTGCGCCGGCCGTGCCGCTCCGCTCTCCGAGAGGCCTTTCTGGATGTCACATTTCAAACTTCACATCATTGGTATTATAACTGGATTTATGGAACTTAAATACTGTAGCGAAGCACAGGTATCAGGCTAGTCTTAGATATAGCTGTTAGTGTTCTGAAAAAGAAAGTTACAGTTCCTGTGTGATAGTACAAGTTTCAGGTTACATCTTCCTATCATGTGGCATGTTCTGTTTTTTTTTTTTATTTGGACTGAATCCTGTGGATAGTTATAAGGTATACTGCATTTAGTGAAAATTTTTCTGATCAAAATCTTTTCAGACAAACTTCTGCTTAGGGCAAAGTACACATAGATGCAGACACATTTTTGGAACTTGGCAAACAAAAAAGTGACTTGGAAGGAGCGGGAAGTAATCTGCAGGGAAAGGGTCAAGCATACCTTCTCTTTCTCTTTTCCAGATTGATCTCCCCCTACTCCATTGCTTCTCCTTATTTGTTAATGAATGTAATTGTACTTCTGCCCTCAGGGAAGCAGCCAGCGGGTTCATTATTAAATCAAATGATACTATTCCAAAGTTCAGTTCTGTTCTCTTATTGTCTCTATGCAGAATAGGGGCGCTCTGGGAAGAGGTTCAATGAATCCACTCAAGGAATGTTCTTAGAACTTGTTCAGAAGGTGTCTCTGTCCAGTCTATGAGAGGTGACCTGGAGTTTAAAAGTAGAAAACACAGGTGTTTTTAAAGCAGAGGTGTTAAACTCATTTATTGCAACGATCAAATCTGACATAAATGTCACTTTGTTGGGCTGGGCCATGTGTGTGATAAAATGTAACCTGAGGTACCGGAGCTATAAACTTTATAAAGATTATTTCAGATGCTGAATGGCAGTCGACTTGATTGGATTAGGTGTGATATGCAGAGGAGTAGTAGGTGTGGAGATATCAGTAGGGTTGCCAAATTGACTCCCCCCTCGGAGCGGGGGAGCCTTGCCAGCATCTGGGAGGTCGCGACAATGCGCGTGCGCGCGCCTGCAGCACGTCACCAGAAGTGACGTGCGACGTTGCTGATGTTGGGGGCGTGGCCAGGCTCATTGGGGGGGAAACCATATGGTTTTCCCCCCGACAAGCTCAGCCACGCCCCCAACGTCTGCAACGTGGCTGCGTCACCTCTGGTGACGCAGCTTCGGGGGCGGGGTTCCCCCCAGGCCCCAATTCCGCCGGGGCGGAAATCGGGGCCTCCGAAGCGGGGGATTCCCCGCCCCCAGGCCCATTTGGCA